GCCATGTGATAGAGTAAATTAACACCCTCATATCAGCCAATCAAAATATGGCATTTTAAGATGAAGTATAATAAATCTAGTTGGCACTCGATCGACAAGTTATTTAATCTGGATTTTTTTATTACAGCATACATTGCTTTAATCTCCTGGTCACGTAGATATTTTCTGGTGGAAAGAAATGAGCCACTTCTAGAAAATATGATACCAAGATATTTATTGCTACTGACTATCTCAATTTCATTTCCATCTATATTAAATATCAAGTTTCGGTGTATTCTACCTTTTGAAAATATCATAAATTTAGTTTTATTTTTATTAATTTTTAATTTCCAATGTTTACCATTCTCTGAAAACTTATCTAACATACATTGTAAATCATGGCTAGATTCAGCAAGTAGTATTGTATCATCTGCATACAATAACAGAAAAATTTTAAAATATATAAAAAGTTTCTTTTCAATATCTTGTGTGACAGACTGAATTCCTTCAATATTAGAATTTTCTAAAAATTCTTGTAAATCATTTAGATACAAGGAAAAAAGCATAGGAGAAAGGTTTTCTCCTTGTCTAACTCCTGTTTCACTCGCAAAGATATCAGAAACTTCCGAATTATGAACAATTCTAGATTTGACATCATCATACATGTTTTTAATAATTCTTAAAAATTTTCCGTTCACATGGTTTAATATCAGTTTAAAAATAATGAATTTTGATGAATAAAATCAGAAGCTTTTTCGAAGTCGACAAATACACAAAATAGTTTCTTTTTTTTCACCCGTAATAATTCAAATAAAGCATATAATGAAAAAATATGATCCGTTGTGGAATAACCTTGCCGGAAACCTGCTTGGTTTTCATTTAAGATATTACAATTTTCAATAAAATCACCAAGTCTGTCGTTAAAAATTGATGTGAAAACTTTCCCTAGACAAGACAAAAGTGTAATCAGCCTATAATTTTTTGCGTCTAATTTACTCCCCTTGTTTTTGAAAATAGGTATTACATTTCCAATAAGCCAAGCCTCAAGCACGATTCCTATATCAAATACAATATTAAATAAATGTACATAAATAACAACCATACAATCAAGAGAAGAAGCAATATATTCATTAATAACTTGGTCTTCACCCAGTGATTTATTATTTTAGCCTTTTTCACAGCTTTCAAAATTTCATCCTGGGTTATTGGACAATTCAAATTTTCATTTACAGTATCAGAATTTATATTGTTTTCTATAAAAAATTCATTTTTGAACTTATTTTTGTTTAAGATTTTGAAAAAATCAAATAAGTTTTGCAGTGAAATATTGCTTTTCTCTCTTTTTCTACCTCTATTGAACAATTTCCAAAATTCTTTTGGATTTTTTGTTTTTAATTCCTTCATCTTTTTACTCATTTCAGTATTATAGTTCTTAATATTAACATCCATAACTTTTTTATAATGTAGTTCACTTTGTCTGAGTCTTACTTTAAAATTGTTCGACCCATTATGTTTGTATAACCTCTGAGATTTTCTAAATTCTCATTGCGCCGTTTTACAATCTTTATTGTACCAGTCTTTATTAAACTGGTTCTTTGAGCACTTAAACATGGTTTTATTAAATGTTGAAGTTCCTAATGTTGCCTTAGCAGACTCGGTTAAAGTATTACAAATGTCAGTAACAATGTCATTCATATCATATTTAGTAACATTATTTACATCATTTACATATGCAGACAATCTATTACATATATCATTAACTTTATTTCTATCTATATTGTTCTTATACTCATTACATTTTTTATTTTCCCATTTATTAACTTTTTCATCACCACAACAAAATGTTTTTGTTAACAATTTGTCTTTTGTTACATCATTTGTATACAATTGTAGAGACAAAGGAGAATGTACATCTGAAAAAAAGTTTAAAAAAATTTAACACTTCAAGTTTACAGATTTTGTATAGAAATTAAGTAGAACTCAACACATAGTCAATAACGCTAGAATTTCTACTAGTTGGACTACCTGTTCTGTTTTCTTCCATTCTACCGTTAAGAATAAACATTTTGTTATTTTTACAAAAATCAATACATTTTCTTCCATACCCATTTACTACAGTATCTATACTATTTCGAAGCCTTGTTATACCAATTTCATCTAAAACACCAACATCACTAAATTCATTATAATCTGTGAAATTATTTTCAAAAGAATTATCTTTATCAATGTTATAAAAATCAGACAAATTTCCTGTGCGACTATTATAATCGCCAAGCATAATAATATAGTTTGTTTTACTACAAAAATTTTGCAATTCGAATTCAATTTCAGTAAATGCATCTTCTGATGTATATGAAGTATTTACCGGTGGGATATATATACATGTAATTCCAAAAAAGAGCATCTTTTGGCAAATCTAAAACTTTTTGGTCTATACTAAACCAAAGTACAAATTGGCAGTCTGACAGAATATATTTAATATATTTGTCTAAATATTTTTTAAAACCTAAAGCAATACCACCTGATTTGTGATTTGCTAGTTTCTTTCTATGACTTTGTAACAATCTTTTTACATATGTTCCCCAATTCATACATTTTGAAAAATTTAACACAAGCTCTTTATAAGGACACCTTTTATATACAATTGTCACCCACTAAAAAATTTAAATATTCTAATAAATCACTTATACTGCAGTGGAAATTCACCTCATTCAAACTAGACCAGCACATTTCAGGTCGTTCTTTTGTCAAGTAATAACTTTTTACAGTGGTCAAAATGAACCTTTCCTATCATAGGAAAAATGTTAAAACCCCATATGTCACACCCATACTTTCATATGCTACTAACTAACATAAGTATCAAACACACTAATCATTGTAAATATATTAAAACATAGGGTAAGTAGTTTCCCTCATACTGAACTTTTCTACCGTTGTTCTGCAAAATATTTCTGTGCATTAAGAAATTTACAATTATAATTTAATAATACACCTAAAGAACAAATTTCTTTCACAACATCCATTGTATTGACAGACAAACCTCATTTTTCTGTGCAAATTGACAAAGTATTTTCCTGTAAACAATCTTTTTTCAGACATCAAAAATATATCATCAGCATACATCAACAAAAATACTGTTATATCTTGAAACTCTAAAGCACAATTGCCATAACCAATAAACTCAATTTTCAAAAGCATTCCTTTAGAATGAAATTAAATAGGAGAGACATTTTTTTAGCACGTTGAATCTAATACAGGTTTTAACATTGCTATATATACATAGATTTTAAAACAGTTAATAGTTTTCACATTGAGGCTTTTTTTTTGGATTTTATATACTCTTTAAAACATTCTCACACCCATTACTATAAGAAGTGAAATACAAAATACAGGGTCTGGTCTTACACAATTCTTTTACAGGAAGAGAGACAATCAAATTGCCTACACGTCCCCCTCTTAAAATCAAATGGAAAGGTATCTGGATTAATGTGCTTATTTTTATTAAATAAAGTATTAATACAGAGGGAACTTGGATATAGCATTTTGCTTACATATTTAATTACCATCTCCAGGAAGTTCCCTTTATCCAATCAAGATGGAAATCATAATTTCTGCAGCCCTATTCTTTTACTAAATGGTATGATTGGTATCTAGGATGCTAGCCAACCAATATTCTTGATTCATTTAAATTATCCAGAGATAATCAGATTGTTAATTGCAGTCTTTGTTTTATCACAAGCACACTTGATCACTTTTGAATTTGCACAATGCATGTGCAGGCTGTTTATCATATTCCAGTTACAATTCAATTTTAATCCCACCGCCACATCCCTTGCAATACTTGTATGTATGTTGATTTTGTTTTTTATAACTATATATTTACATTGTATGTTCATATTTGTGGATTTTGTTTTGTTTATTTGTTATGTTGTATTTTATTGTAATCTTTTATTTTTCATTTCATGTGTATTGGTAGTTTAGTTTCCATTTCCATGTTGATAACCACAGTTGTTTTGCTTTCAGCTTCTTGTGTGGAGTACCACAGACTTCTCAGTGAATTGATATTTGGGAAACAATTGACTTTTAATGATTCTTTCATTGTTCATTGGCATTGTTTATTATATAATGAAAGAAATTAATAAAACTGTGGTTAGTTTGCCCAAACCAGTATTTTGTCTCATTTCAACTTATATTTGTTTATCTGGTCCAGCCTGTGCATAACGGTTATAGTACGAGATTCTGTTTGGCTTGAGAAAACATGAGCTCTTCAGGGTCTGGTCTTACATCCATTTGTGTTATGGGCATGGACCAGAGTATAGCCTTTGCCTGATGGATACATATCACATACACACATACATTACATGTAATTCTCTGAGGAACCCATGAGGAGAAGGGTGGGACCAGTACAAGTGTATCTGGATTAATCCACTATATAAAACTACTTTGAAAATAATTTCAACATTAAATTTTCAAATTCCAAATACTTCTGTCATAAGAAAGACTCTCACCCAATTTGTTCCTTTTATTGTTTAATTTTGAAATTTTGAATTCACAATTCTATAAGAACGATAATATAAAAAAGTAAACCCCCTATCCTTTTTCTTATTCTTTGGAAGTTTGTGTAAGAATCTTCGCCTGTTTACATTGTTAGCTACATACTTGTTCTGACACTACCTAAAACTTTTTAAAATATAGATGAAAAATTACATAAAAAAATAAATCACAATGTTATAAAAACTAGAAAAAAATATATTGAAATTATTTGTATCACACACTCACACACATTTATATAAGAGAGAATCACAGTTATAATTATATCACAAATTATCACAGAACTATGAGCTTTTCATCAAGAAGAGCAAAAATATCATATAAAAAGGATAAATACCATATTTTCTCAAAGTAAAAAAGTATGATTTAAAATAGATTTGTTAGAATAACATTTCAAATTTCAATTTTTTTACTATTTATTGAATAAATCTTGATGTGAGAGAGATAAATATTAACTGATCTACAGTTGCTTATGAATGATCAATGAAGAATTTTCTAATTTTCTTACTAATTAAATCTAACATTTCTTCAATATTTATTATCCTATCAGGGTGTTTTCTAATGTTACAAAAGGACTTCAAAGTTCTACCTTTGTGATATTTAAAAGGATCTACAGTTTTCAAACACTTAACAAGAATCTCAAGATCTTTTACAGAAGACTTTTTGGTGTGATTGACAGACAGTTTTGGTAATCCAAGACATCCATCAACTGTTCGTCCAACTCCAACACAGGTGTCGGCAGCACCACATGCTCTCATAACAGCCTTTTCTGTTTTATTGGCTCCTTCAAAAAAAAAAAAGAAAAAAGATGAATAATTATATGTAGATATTGATAATGTTTATTAATGCAATAAAAAGAATATAATGTAGACAGCACAGTTATATGCACAAAATGTATATAGACCAATAGTTATTTTTCCATCATAAATGTTAACTGTCCTGTAAAATACTGATACAACTGCTTTTTTTGTACAAGATAAGGATCTACCACTTTATATTGAAAACTGGTTTTTGGTCTTACTTAAAGCCTTTGATGCTAGGAATTGCTAATATACTATTCACTGTTGCAAAACAATTATATTATTATTTAATCTTTTGAAATGTCAAAAGCAATTTGATTGGTTGAGCTAAGTTGAGCATCTTTGTTTATTCAAATACCTTGGAGGAAAATAATAACAAATAACAGAAATCTATTGAAAAATATAATTGTTTACTGTAAATTTCACTGTATACAGTAATTGATTGCTGTATGATCATACCTAGACTCCTTATTAAATCTTTCTTGTTTCTGATACAATGCTCTTGGACCAGGTCTGCCTCTTTGTTCTTCCCTGGTCCACCTTTGGTATTGATAAAAGCACCTTCTAATGCTCTCATTGACATATCTGGTGATAGAAGATGCTTTGTTAGCAAAAGGAAGTTGACAAGTTCCCCAAAGTATTTGCTGAATATTGAGTGACTGAGTAGGAAACCAATGCCTTCCTTGCAGTTGATTTCAAGCCGCTCAAAATCTCCCTCTTTTGCAGTATCGTTCATATTCATGATAAGGAGTCCCCATTCAATAATATTGATGAAATAGTTCATGACCTGGTCTTCTGCATCATGTTCTTCACCTTCAAATGAACAACAAAGCTTCAGCTTTCTTAGTAAAGATCATCATTTAAATGTCATGTCATAATAGTGCAGTATTGCTGTTTTGTCTCAATTTGCTGCTTATATTTTTGTTCAAATTAGTTCAATATCTTGTCATATCAATTTATTTTAGGGATGTCAACTCGGTGAAGATATAGTAATCGTGTACTCGTTGGATCATACCGAGCAATACTCGAGTACTCGCTCGGAAAAACATCTACAAAATGTAAACGTAAGATTATGAGCATTTTACCTATTGTGGGTTGTTCGTTGTCTTGTTGGCCTAAAACCTTCAACATTATTACATAGGACCAGATAATAGTCACAGGAATTTTATTCCATAATTAAAAGCATTTGTACCTCTGTTGTTTGAAGGAATTTTAAATGACAAAATTATACGCAAACATTCGAAATGTATTTTAATTTTGATTAATACTGTAAATTCAGAAATTATTGCGTGCATTTATTATTGCGATTTTGTCATTTTAGACTTTAATGCAATTTTAATTTTTACGATTTTGAAAAAAATCCTGTTTTGTTCTTATTAAATATTTCAAAATGCGAGTTTAAATTATTACGTTTACAACTCTGTCGCATTTGTCGCAATAATAAAAACCTCGCAATAATTTCTGAATTTACAGTATATGATTTCCGATTAGTCGAATATCATTTTTGGTATTCGATGCTCGGTTCTACCGAGCGATTCTCGAGTACTTGAGTACTCGTTGACATCCCTAAATTATTTGTTTTCATTAATTAAGCACATTGTCAAATGAGTGTTTAAAGTATTTGTGTACATATCTATATATGAAACTACAAAGAGATGAAAACCCGATCTTTAAAAACACATTTGTTTACTAGTTACTTAACCATGAACACATGACTGATGCCTACCATGTACTTTGCTATACAGCTGGCTGAGTATTGAATCTCTGTCTTCATTATCTTGTACTTGAATTTGTTCAGCTGCAACATGCAGGAGAGCCTTCACCATCAAGAGGAACAAATCTTCATGGGCTTTGTAATTACTCTTCACATTACCTGTGACATCTTGCCTCCTTAGAATTGTCTTGGCATGGAAGAGAGTGCCTGGTGTGCATATCGATTCTGCTCTGAACAATGCCTTGTATGCTTTCTGTGTAAAGAGATTTTGTCACAATGATCTGTTTTAAATATTTTAGGATTTTTATCATTTATGATTAGGATATATAGTCCGTTTTGTGAATTTGAAAATAGGCAATATAGGAGTTAGGAATAGGTAAAATATCCACCAAAATATGTGATAGCATTTAATTTCATTAATATGTATTATTTCACATATTAGGGAACAAAATTTCATGACAATTTACCAATAAATAAAAAAGTTGTACCTAATGGTGAGCTTTACAAAAGTTTTATGTAGGTCTTTACTTACAAAATGGAATTGCTTTAACCTTTTTGACCTATATATTTTCAGGAACACCAAACAGACAATCCCATATTGCCTACTTTTGGGCAGTTTAATAATGCTAGATAAAACTTAAAATTGAAGCAGCTCATGTTTCAGCATAAGCTGAACAAGAGTCACTATATATAAGGTTATCTTATATAACAAAAACAAAAAATTCAAAGCAATATTAACAATTCTTATATGGTTGCATATTAGGATATAAGTTCATTGTTTTTTCAATCAAAGTTTTTAGTAGCAGATTTTTTAAGAGATAACTGTATTGTAGTGTAACTGTGGAAAATTGAACAGTATAAACAATGTAGCTCAATCAATCAAATTCATTTCTATGTTCTAAATTGAATTATTGATATTAACACCAGAAAAATGAAAAATTTAAAGTTAGTCCTGTATTTTTATACTTTTTTTCACATGAACAATAACGAAATAAAAATATACAGTAACATAGTGTGGATTTATAGAGTTTATTTGTAATTGTGCTTCATATTTTTAACCCAGTTGTTATCTTGAATTTGTATTACAATGTTCATGTGTACTGTATAATGTATGCATATTTCATGTATATATTTTAATGCCTAATTATATGTGTTAAACTGCAGTAAAATTTGTAAAGGTGCTTATCCAATTCTTGCAATTTTAAATATTATATACACAAATATATATGTAATTGGTTGCTGTACATTGGAGAAAACTACCCTTATCTTTAAAAAGTTTGGGCTACTTTTTTATCAAACTCTGAACACCATATCTTTCAAAGATTATTAGATACTGTTCAAAGGGGAATAATCCTTACATACTTATTGATTGTCTCCCATATTTACTTTCTCTTCCATGTGCATGCAATAACTATTCAGTGTTCTATTTTATTTTATTATTATTTCATTGTCATAACAAAAATCATTGTAATCATTGTATGAAATTTCAAATTAAATAGAATATTTCTATTTCTATACTATTTCAATAGCTTTATTAAAACCCTTTTTTTAGTACAAATGTGTGTATTTTTCTATGTCTAACTAAATGTCTTACAGATAACAAATCCTGCTTGACATGCCAATGTTCAATAACTATTGGATTCAGGTGTTCAAATCTCCCCTCAGGTGTTAATGCTAAAAATCTTATGTTTTTTACATTCTGTAGCCTTTCCCTTGTTAGCTGGTCACCACCCAGGACAGCTCCATGTTTTTGCAACATATCAGTATTTCCTACAACATTGATTGTGTGTTTATGTTTACTGATGTACTGCATTAATTTCTGAAATTGGCACCATATAATATATATACACCAATAAAAAAATTATTACCACCTTAATTTGAATTTTTTTATGATGCCAAATGCTAATCTAAATGATTTGCAAAATATTTTGCATATTGGTTGAGTAAAAAAAATTCTTTAATAAAGAAGTTCGAAAAAAAAATGATAATGTCTTGCAAAATGGTTAAATCAATTGTAAGACAGAAACACAAAGTTCAATAAAAAATTTGAACTCTTGTGGAGAGTTCTTCTAACATTTTTATAACACAGACAACACCAAACACTTGGTGTCCAGCTCTATCGAGGAAGTAACAGTACAAGTAAATCATCCATTGTAAAACTGATTTTTTGAAATTCAAAGCATAAACAATTAGATTTTGGAACATTCTTAAACAATTGTAAAGTTCAATTTTTAATATACCATGAGCAAGAGTGAAAATTTCTGTCAGCTGTCTCTCGTATGCATCCATGATGTCCAGGCAATCTTCATTTTTACTCTCGTTCTTGAAAATAATTGGAAGACTGAACACCTCTTGCTTCTTTGACATATATTCACTGTATCTGACAATAAGCATATTATAAATATTATGCAGACAAATGGAATAAATATACAAATTCTCATGCAATTTGTCTATGAGTCATTTCAATTTGGGACAGTAAAATATCAGGATTTATGTTTTGAAAGCTGAAAATACAATACAGCTATCCCCATAAATGCTAAATGTTGGCTTTCATATATAAATTGGCATAGCTATGGCTTATTTTTATGACGTTAAAGTAAAATGCAATAAACTTGCAGTTTTCAAGAGGTAAGGTAAATGACTGACGAATACAGTGATTACCAATTTTCGGGGATTTCGTGGGTACAAGGAAACGACGAATTTGAATGTTCAACGAAATGCAAATTGTTTAAAGGAATGCATGTGAACTTTGTCAAAACCACGAATTTAAATATCCACGAATATGCAAGTTTTCCTCTATCCACGAAAATTGGTACCCATGAGAATAAATGAATCCACAGTATTTGAAACTACACTTATTAATTTAGCTTCAGGAACTTATAAATCAAATAAAAAGTAATAAACATGTAATATATTATAATATATTATAACATATAATTAACATAACATTAATACTACAATGTAATCCATCTTAGAATCAAGCAAAAATACTATAAAAAAAGCAAGGTAAAATTAGTAAGTCCCCAAACAGGTAGTCAAAGTGATGTACATAAATAAAGGATAGATTAACATGGCTTTTAGTAAAGATTTTTTTATTACATAAGAATATCTGTGGTTTTCAAGACAATATAAAATATTTATGATGAACTCTTTGTGCAGTAACCATTTAAATGTAATTGAAACAAACAGGTATTTACTGGGCATTTATCAGTGATGATCTTGAAATCTTATTTGACTGATTATTTGGTTCATTAATTAAGTGTAAATGACCAGACCAAATTATCACTTATATTGTGTCATAGATCTTATTTATATGTTCAGTGTACAGTATGTTCACTTGTTTTTGTTGATATCTCTTTTGATTGAGTTATGCCATTTCTATTGATATTTTATAGTGTGTCATTCTATGTTGTAGTGTTACGTGCTATTGTTTCAGAGTAAGGTGAAGGTTGGCACCTATTAAAATGTTTAAACCTGTTGCACTTGTTTGCATCTCTCTTAAGTCAGGAGCCTGATTTCAGTGGTTGCTGTTTTTTCATGTGGTTCATAAGTGTCTGTTGATTTTCCTGTTTGAGTGGTTTTTCACAAGTCATTTTTGGGGCCCTTTACAGCTTGCTGTTCGGTGTGATCCAAGGCTCCATGTTGAAGGCTGTACTTTGACCTATAATGGTTAACTTTTGCAAATTTTGACTTGGATGGAGAGTTATCTCATTAGACCTCATACCACATCTTCTTATATTTACTTATAGGAAAATTTCAAAGTTTATATGATTATAAATCATTTAGAGATAAATGCATTAACAGAATAATTATACTTACACACTGTCAGTTCTTTTGCACTGTATACCATCCCCATTGTCTTGGATTTCATGTAAAGATGCTGGCGGGGCCCTAATGATAAAAATACTTTATTTCATAATGTTACTGAATACAATACAATACAATATTTACAATACAATACAATACAATACAATACAATATTTACAATACAATACAATATTTTTTATTTTCCAAATTAAAGGGCCCATCAAGAGCATAACATTAATAACAACATGACATAAACATTACAGAGTGATTAAAGAAACATAAAATAATAGTTCAAATGCACGAGGAAAGGGTCAGTGGTCAAGGGGAGATAATTTTGCTATCTACATGTATTAGAGTATTTAACTAATTTTCTGATTTTCTAAGTTGCAGGCCTTTATCAAGGTATGCACATAAAATAGATAAAAAAAACTGCTATCTTCATTACTCATGATCCATATAAAAAGATCATTTCTGTTTAAATTAACTAAACTGGGGTATTTTTTAATATAATCAGTCATATCTCTTCGGAGGTCATTGTAAAGAGGGCATTCCAGAAGAATGTGCATTTCATTTTTAATAGAATTTGAATTACAATATAAACATATCCCCTCATGTCGAGGTAATATTTCACATTTACCACATACATTGATAAATCGTTCATGTCTGCCAGTTTCTATTCTTAAACAGTGATTGCTGAGTCTGTATTTTGTTAACAAATGTTTTTGGGGGACTGCTTTAAATCTAAATAATTTTCATAGTAAAATGACCTCTTGAATGAAAAATAAGTGTCCAATTTGCCTTGATTCTGTAAATAAAAATCTTGCATTTTCTCCCAATCATTTTGAAAACTTAATTTGAGCTGTTTTTTCAGTAAATTCTAAAATTTATTTTTGCCTAAATTTTTACATATATTTAGGTCAATACCCAATTTTTCGCAGTAGAAAATGATATCAGAAAGCCATGAGTTATTGGAGCTAGTTTGAGCTTTACTCTCAATCATTTTTAACTTGATCAGCATAAGCACTTTTCAATAAATCAGATGTGGAATTCTCTAGTCTATGCCAATACATAAACATATGTGTGTTAGCAAATTTATATAAAGAGGATATCTACCCAATCCTGACAGGACTCTATTTTTTATATAGTACCTGAATAAGAATGCATTGCTCTCCATGTATTCAATAGATCAATTAAATTATCTACTAGAGATAAATGCATGTAACAGAATAATTTATACTTACACACTGTCAGTTCTTTTGCACTGTATACCATCCCCATTGTCTTGGATTTCATGTACAAATGCTGGAGATCTATATTTAGACATAAAGTTAAAAAAAAAAGAACATACGTACTACATACATATATATTTTATACGGGTAAAGAACTGTGATTAAAGAAGGGCATTGCTCTTCATGTATTCAATAGATCAATTAAATTATCTACTCTCTAAATAAATTACAGTCAATTTCAATCTGTTAATAGAATTTAAAACTGAATGCTGACAATTAAAATATCTTCATGTGGAAAGACCACAGGCACAGACTTAAATTTGAAATTGAAAATACAGGCAAAATTATTGCACATATTTTATTTATTTTTAATTTGTTATGTTGTGTCACATGTTATAAATATAAAGTGTTAGGGAACATAAGAAAATGCCTGTACCAAGTCAGGAATATGACACTTGTTATCCATTGGTTTGATGTGTTTGAGCTTTTGATTTTGCCATTTGATTAGGGACTTAATTTCCTTTTTGAATTTTCCTTGGAGTTTAGTATTTTTGTGATTTTACTATTTTTATTTTTTATATAGTACCTGAATAAGAATGCATTAGCTAAAACTCTGGGACTGATATGAAAGGGCATATAAAAATACACCCTGTCATATCTGCATTTTCATTGTTTTTAATTAACAGGTTGGTGAGAATCTGTCAAATTTTAAGGGGGATTAACTAATACACAACCATACTCCTTTTAAGGTAAGGTTGTGGAAGTTAATCAGGTTGGGGAAACTGGCAAAATAGGGAACTGTTCCCCAAATGAGTAACAATTGCTCATTTGAGTAATTATTTGGTAACTAGCTAAAAAAACTAAATATTCTTTTTTCTTAATATGACACAAATTCATTTAAGGAATGACTGTAATATTTTTTCTGTCTATGAAGAAATAACATCAAAAATGTGGTGCACCCTTAATAACCCGCAGCGGGTTATTTTAAAGTGTGCACCACATTTTTTATGTAATTATTTCGAATAGACAGAAAAAATATTACAGTCATTTCTTATAATTTAATTCTAAATTTCATTTTAAACTGGAGTGAACCATGAAAAAACGTTGATGACGTCACATGACAAAATTATGTCTATGAGCTGATTAACAAAACAACGTCAGCCAATCAGAAGACGCGTTACATCCAAAATTAAATTATAAAAAATGCAGCAAATTTTCCAAAAGATGAATAGTCAATAGACCTATCGTGATATACTGAGAAGATACAAGCCTATGAACACTTTTAAAAATTGACAATTTTCAAGGCTAATAGCTTTAAAATTTCTCATATTATATAGAAATATAGTTCTTTAGAAGCAGTTAAATTTGTTCCATTTTCTTTAAATTTGTGTCATTTTAAGTAAAAAGACTCATTTAAAGAAAATTTAGTTTTTAGCACTATCAAATAATTACTCAAATGAGGGATTGTTACTCATTTGAGGAATAGTTCCTGATTTGGTGGTTGCCCCCAACCTGATTATCATAACTTACACAACATTACCTTAAAAATAAAAGGGGAGGGGTTTGATATTTCCAAAGTTCAGTTAATCCCAAGACATTTTTTTTTGTTATCTGTCCCAAAACATGATATAGTTTCATTTGACTATTTATGTATATCATTTTGTTTTGTGTCTTTTGTCTTGTCTCTTTTTTTATGGTTTTCACTTTTGTACCTTTGTTACTGTTACTGTTAGTATAAGACTTTTAAGAGCTCACTTTTAAACATTACTTCTACTTTGTAGTGACCGCCTTCAACACGTTGAAGTTTATTTACAATGTCTAACGAGTCTGCCATGAAAAAAATGTTTTGATTTAATATGTTTAATTACGTTGCGGTCATCATAACCTTTATGATAAACATGTTGAGTCGGACTTGATTGCAGAAGAATGAACAGTATGATTTAAACCTTTCCTACATGCAGAGAGTATTACGTTTCTCTACGCACAACATGTACCATATGTGAAAATTGTTATTGTCATTTTATGTAAAAATCCGAGCATTGAAGACAACTTTAACTATTTGAAAAAAACTATATTACAATATTGTTTCCATTGTGTGCTGTTTTACAAGCTATTGAACAGAGTAAAAATTAACTAATGAGATTGGTTTATCAGGCACAGTTCATGAGAATCAAAATATGTTTTAAAACCTCTGCATTTTCTAAAGAACAACTCAAAACAGCTCAGGAAAATGAGCTTTACCTATCAGTCATAATTGACAATGCAGATGATCAAACTGTAGTCAACACATTACCTGTTTGTATTAAGAAGTCAAGAATTATGATGAAATAGTGGGGAACTTCTGACGTTCCTCAATGT